CATGTTAAATACATGTTAACATGTATTTAACATGTAATGAACATGTTGTTAACATGTAATGAACATGTTGTTAACATGTATTGAACATGTTGTTAACATGTAATGAACATGTTGTTAACATGTAATGATGTTTGTTGCTACAGTCAGAACCAGAGAAGAAAACTGCAGAATAATTAGTTGTGTAAATTATTATTATTACCCGTCGCTGTTTAGTTTGGAACAAAACTATCTGACACTTTAACTTCAAACGGTTTGACTCTGATTCTGTCCCATAATGTGCTAATAATTAATGGAGCATATCAATAAAATACTGTAATAGTTACATATTATTTGATCCTAATGAATTAAAACTACTAATGTCAACAGTTTAAAGGAAATATCCATCCATGTGGAAAATCAGTGTTCATCCCTTTTGAACTGTATTCTCTTTTATTGTCTTATAATCTGAAATGTAATTGGATTAAAAGCAATAATTCTGCCAAATTACTTCAGATGAATAAAGTTAAACTGTGGAAGACCTGCTAAATGATTAAAAGCCAACACTTTGGGCAGCAGCAGATCTCTGCAGGTCCTCGGAGAACTGAGAACTTTATCCAAGAGAAACTACCAAAGAAAAGTTTTGCTTCAAACAAACGTCAGATGTTTTAAAGGTATGAAACCTTTCTAAAGAGACAGTCTTCTGATGGGTGGAGCTACTGACACAATGTTCACTTACAGTAAGTTCAGCCTTTGGTACCAGCAGGTCCAACAGGCTCAAGAAGCTGAACACACATTCAGCTCAACACAGCCAGCTAAAATACCTGCTAGTGTTTGTAGTAAGACCCTGAGGTTATGTGTTTACCTGTAAAATTTACTTTGCCCCGCCCCTTTCTTTCCCACCTGTGCTGTAACCTGACTGTGTCAGGATCAGGATCTGTCATGTTGCACTTCAGTCGTTCCTTGGATCTATGCAAACATCTGATAATCACAGGTTGGCTCAAAGCTCGTGCAGCTTGTTGTGAATGAGGAAGGCTAACGGTCTCCGAGACGTTAAACTGTCACTGTCACTTTAAGAACGTTGCCATGGTAACCACGCTCCCCCATTGGTCCATTTGGATGGTTGTTTTGATGATGTAACTGTATGTTTGTGTTCTGATCTGCTGACCACCTGGAATAAAACAATCTGATCTCTGACCTTCTGATGTTGTATGTCTGTATGAAGTTCTGCCCTTGTGAGGACACTTAGGAGCTTCTGGTTCTGTGGTTGAGATGTCAGCGAGGGCCATCACAGGTGTGTGTGCGTGTGCGTGCATGTGTGTGTGCGTGTGAGTGAGAGAGAGAGAGGGGCAGTGAGAGTGACAGGCCATAATCTGTGAATCCTGTTAAGGTGTTAAAGAGCACGTGAAGAAGAGCTCAGGTGTGTCTTCAAGGTCTCTGCAGACAGACAGGTGTTCTGATGGACCTGGAACCTGTCAGACCATGTGAGTGACAGCAGCGTCGTCCTTCCTGTAAGTTTACCTGTTACTTCCTGCCTGTACGTTTCCCTCTTACGTCCTGCCTGTACGTTTACCCGTTACGTCCTGCCTGTATATTTACCCGTTACTTCCTGCCTGTACGTTTACCCGTTACTTCCTGCCTGTACGTTT